AAAAAAAAAAAAAAAATAGAAAAACTGAGGCAAGAGGATCACTTGAGCTCAAGAGTTGGAAGATGCTATGAGCTATGATGCAACAGCAGTCTACCCAGAGCAACAGCTTGAGACTATTTTAAAAATAGTCCCAGCTACTTGGGAGGCTAAGGCAAGAGAATCACTTAAGCCCAAGAGTTTGAGGTTGCTGGATAATGCCACAGTACTCTACTGAGGGCAACAAAATGTGACTCTGTCTAAATAAAAGAAAAAACGATTTGCAGCTAGGTGTGATGGTTTATGCCTATAATTCCAGCACTTAGCAAGCCAAGGCAGGAGGATTGCTTGAGGCTGGGGATTCAAGACCAGCCTGGGCAACATAGCAAGACTACTACAAAAAATAAGGAAAATTAGCTAAGCATGGTGGCACGTATCTTTTGTTCCTGCTGAGGCAGGAAAATCACTTTAGCCCAGGCATTTGAGGCTATAGTAGCTATGATTCACCACTGCACTCCAGCCTGGGTAACAGAATGAAACCCCATCTCTAAAAATATGAATAAATAAAATTTTAAAACTTTAGGCAGCCCACAAGACAGCAAAAACAACCTCAAAACATTTGTCAAATAAAATCAGAAAACAAATCCCAATAGGAGTAATTATAAGCTCCAAATAGAATTCTGTAAAATGTATTTTTTTAATTGAATAGTAACTGTACATTAATGCACTTCTGTAAAATGTATTTAGGTAGCACAGTAGAGATGCTGAACAAAGAAGTTTGTACTTTCATAAATAAATTCATTTTGAATTAAAAAAAGACTTAGTTAATAAAGGTGGTGATGCTAAGGAGGTCATTTTGTCCTCTTTTCTGATGCATGTTGTTGCAGATTTCTCAGCAGAGGCAAGGCTTGTGGTTACCTGGAAAGTATAATATATGAAAAAAGATCCTGCTAAACAAAATCATAGATCCAGTATTTTAATTATCTATGATCGATCATTTTAAGTTAAACTGATCCGGCACACATTCTGGCTGTTGGTGATTGAAGATTCAGTTTATTGTGAGTTTTCAGTTCCATACCATCACTGGCCAATTTGTTTTCAGTCAGTTTTCATGACCTTAGAGATCAAGGAAGAAAATACAGATGGCCATCTAAATTTGTCACACTAACAGTAGGAAAAGAGGTCAGAATAGAAGTCCTTTCAGTAACAGTTCAGACTATACACTTTTTAAAATGTTTTAATATTGCTCGGTTGCCTCCTACACACAATTAGTTCTAATTAGAGCAGTTTTATTATATTTTTTAGCACTTTATGATATGTTTTTTAAAAAATGAATAGACAGGTAAATTCTTATTTTAACTTCTAAATTATTTTATTGATATATACACATTAGGTGTGTATATTTTCAGGGTAAATGTGATGATTTGAAACATTCACATAATCAAATTAGGGTAACTGGGATTTCTATCACCAGCTGTACCCTTTTTTTTTTGAGACAGAGTCTCACTGTGTCACCCTTGGTAGAGTGCTGTGGCTCACAGCTCACAACCTCAAACTCTTGGGCTTAAGTGATTCTCTTGCCTCACCCTCCCAAGTAACTGGGGTTACAGGCGCCCATCACAACACCTGACTAGTTTTTTGTTGCAGTTGTCATTGTTGTTTAGCAGGTCCAGGCGGGGTTCAAACCTGCCTACCTCAGTGTATATGGCCAGTGCCATACTCTTTTTTAGAAAATCTATCTTTTTTTTTTTTTTTTTTT